AATTCGTGCAGTTCGATGAACGTCGCATCATCCGACACACAACAGTAGAGTACCTAACATCGGCAGTTACCACCTACTGATGCGGGCTAGGCTAACCTTCAGTAAGATGAGATCGAGAAGAAGGCACTGCATATGGCAAATCGCAGGAAACGATCAAAGGTACTCGACGATGACTGGAACCTGAAAGGTAGCTGCGACGACAACTACGAGAAGTTCCCGAAGAAAGTGAGGAGCAGCGAAAAGTCAGCCGAGGTTGTTATACGCGAACGAAGAAAAGGAAGGATCTCTAAAGAGACTAAGAGTTTGCCAGAAAAGTGAAGGAAGAAGAAAAGTGATATTAGCTACACAGTGAAGTACTCTTCCCTCTGCAGAGTCATTAGACGGAAGTTCAACGATCACTTTGAGACGCTCCGACGGCGAAAATTAGAGGAAGCAGCTGATAGCTCTTTATCAGTCCACCATCACGGTGCTAGAGCTGAGCCGCAGTATTTCTGCAAGAACGATTACACCCAGCTTTCTGCGTCAAAGACACGTGCCTCAGCATAATCGTACCAGCAACTTGACACCATCCTCCTCGAGCACTGACAGCCCTCATAAGAGGCAATGCCATTCCCAAAACAGGCGAGGGAATCAAGAACTCTAGGGAAAAACGGTTCGACAACTGAAATGATCAAAGCAAGTGGTCAGACGCGGTAAAGGGCTCTAGCAGCGAGGTTTAGTTGCTGGAAGAAATTAAAAACAATCGTACTGTGTACAAAGGATCTGATGAATGTATCGTCCATGAACTATCGCCAGCTATGCGTATTTTGTTTGCTCTCAGAAGTGTGCAAGCTGTTCACTGAGATAATCCTCAGCGCACTGTCAGCAAGTCTGGAACGCAGCCAAGAGAGAAGGAAGGATTCCGAAGTAGCTACAGCACAATGGAAAACACCATTTTGCCTTATGTCAAATCCTCGCGCACCAGGAGATTAAAGTTCCTTTTGTGCATAGCCTTCGTTGAGTATGAAGAAGCGCTCGACGCTGTCGAGTACAGTGCGTCAACAAGCGTTGCATCAGCCCCCTGTAGAAAACGACCTGTGGCTGCTTCACAAACATCGAGCTGTTCGACATGCCCTTCAATTTTTTACGGCCCTTTGGAAGTGGTGTTCTGAAAGATAAACTGGAAGGATGGAATCAACACTATTGATGAAAATCTCAGGCCTAAAGTTCGGTGATAAAATGGACCTGCGCTCAGTAAACGCCAGTCGGCCGCAACACATGCTGGAAGAGTTCGAGAGACAAATGTGAGTCGGATTGCGAATCATTCGGTTACAGACGAGAAAATACCGTAATCGGATCTCCACCAAAGGTGCAAGTAATGTTAGACGGCGAGAACACCGATCAAGGAGATGTATAAATTCTCCTTGGCCAAGCGATCGACATATGGCTTGGTGGTCAGGCTTGAGAGACTCAACGGATAATGAGGGCCGGTTTGTTCGCGTTCTATTCTATCAAGTACCTCCACTAAGGCAACAACAGGAAAGAAAGCCGCGTCTACCTCTTCAGCTCTGTTGCCCTACGGACAATGTTGCATGACTATGAATTACGGTTACTCACTAAAGCCGACGATTGCCAGGCATATGTCACCACGAGAGCAGTGGAAAAGGAATGTTCGAGCACATCCTTAACACTGTGATCAGGCAACGGGAGCATACGTAAAGGAAGCAGTCGTCGAGGGCAAATGAAAGAAGCTACTGTGGCAGTGCCCGTAGCTCGTCTGATCGGGGTGAGTAAGCGGCTCTGTCGCGCACCACGTAGATTGGAAGATTACATCAGGAGCCGGGAAGGACGCGCTTTAAGGGAAGAGGCTCGAAAGTAAGAGGAAGCGTGCTGAGGCCGGCGCGATTATTTGCCGATTACCGACCGGTACAAGTGGTTCAACTAATACTTCACTTTACCTGGAGTGAAGTGAAGTATCGTATGTTCATCTTAGGGGTCAAGGTAGGTCAGTTAGTTAAAATCGGACTGACAGTCGATGGATGGCGAGTTTTACCTCGACCTGTGGCAACGAATGTTTTCTTCAATCAATGTGTTTGAAGCAGGGGACCACTTACTGTAATGGCTGCCAAAACATAGCTGTCACTGTCAAAAAACATGGTATTCCTGACTAATGGCGAAGTCAGGACGGAGAGATCAGGCAACGTGGCATCGTTTCAAGCATCTTTAGACAACCTAATGGAATTTTTTGCATCACGCCTGAAGCAGCAGTTTTCCAGAGTCGTAGTCAGCGTAACTCTGACGCTGGAGAAAGTCGTTCTTACTGTCTGGTTCCTCTAATCAGATAGGAAAAACCTTCCAGAATAATATTTTTCCTATACCTGCTTTTCGAATCATACCTGACCTCTTTTCAGACAGTGACTGATAAATATTAATAGAAACGATGAGGGTCTATTCTTTGATAACAATGATAGACATGTGGTCCGGTAATGAATTTTTGGCATTTTCAATTGCCTTTCGCTCTAAAGGATTCGGGAAGAAGAGAAGATAATGAAAGAATAGAAGAATCATCGAAGAGATTCTAGTCGTCCATCAACACGCTGGAACGACCCAACGTTGTGTGCAAAGGAAACAACACCGAGAACAACAACAACGAGGGGTGGAATGTCGATGCGTGGCGCAGTCGATGACGAAGTCAAGTCGGATAGAAGAAGGATAAAGGATTTTATGTATGTTGTTCAAAGCATCCGCGTTTGATGGACAAAGATTACTGACCTATGCAAGAATGCTTCCATACTAAAACTGAGTCATAGCTGACAAAAACTGGCCGTTAATTTCAAACATGAGCACTTTGCGAGCCAGAGTTTCAAAAGAATTATGTTCAAGAGTTACGTAATATCGTATTTGTCTGTTAAAATTTATGCTTTGCTCTTCAGTGAAATGATTAGCTAAGCCTGAACGCAGATATTACATATGTAATGCCAGTTCGAATCGTGTGCGTTTGGACCCTGGTCCCGCTTTTCTGTCATATTTAATTCAGCTGCCAGAAACAAATGGTATTCAGTTTTCGACTGAGCTAAGCAAGGAACGTTGCAGTTTCTTTGCTGCATATCTTTCTCTACGTAACGTGATAAATTTATCATTCCTGGACAGCAGGAAATGAAGCCAATGAAGTCAGCGGGCAATGAATTTAGCTTTGTTTCTTTTCATCCTTAAAATGACGGGGTTGGCACCTGAACACCATCAATCACCGCAGAAATCATACGACGCTGTTGGCGTGGATTAACTAGCGAAAATCACCACTTATGAAGAAGAGACGGATTGGCTGAAAATGCGTCTAAGATCAGTTTCGTCCGTTTGCAGTCTATTCGAATCTTACGCTGCCATGACAATAGCAGCATTTGCCTCCATCTAAAGCGCGGGCTTGCGAAAGGCTTGTGAATGAGGGGAAGAGGTCGGTCCTTCGGTTCGAAGTGTGAAGCGCGAACCGGTCTGAAGTAGAAACGAAAGTTCTTAAACACGTGAACAGACGGCGAAGAATAATGACTTGGCGTCGAGCACGAAGGAAAAACGACAACAACGGTCAGTCGGCTTTCGTGTGCCTTCTATGAGTAACACGCAGACACTTAAATAAACAGCTTTTAACGCTTTTAACTGTGAGAACGGCGATGAAAAGGCACAGAGCCGCCGCCAGCTTAGGCGGTGCTGCTTCGACGTTGTTGCTGTTGCCTCGATTAGTCAGTTGATGGTCGGAGTCAGTGGTGGCCGTCGTCGATTGAACGGACGATAGTGACTAAATGTGTACTGTCATCGGTGTTCAGTCAACGACTGATCTGAGTTACAATCAAAAATCACTCGCAACAAAGTTCAGACATCAGATCAGACAGACAGACATCGAACGCGTCGTGTGGCGACTAGCTAGGTGGCCAGCGTTCGTAGTCCGGCCGTCTGATGGTCTGGCGGCTTCGGTCTCGGTCTCGGTCTCGGTCGCCCGGACACCAATACTCATCAGACTCGAAGTCCCAAAAATTGCTTTCCATCTCAGCCGCTCGTCGGCGCCGAACATCTACTGGCCGGTAGATATTTCAGCCAGACTTCGATCGCGATCAGGGCTCAACGCCCACTCGACGTATCGTTGGTCAGAGGCGGGTCGAAGGAGAAAAATGCGCTCAATTAGCAGTAATCAAATCAACGCCAAGTGATAAGCTAGTTGAGCATGCAGACTGGCAAAGGAATAGCCTCCCGTAATCTATGATAAATGACGGACGGCAAAAACATATCTGATCTATTACCGAATGCCCACCGACGTATAAGCCTACTATAAAACTTGTGCAGCTACACCTGGATAATGAATTTTGAAACAGCATATCCGATTTTCAGAAAGAACAACGCCGCCTGTAATAGTCTGAAAAGATACTTGTGCCAATCGAAATCTGTAGAGCCATAAATGCTCAATACTGTAACTCCCAATATGTTCATCCAATAATTGGTAGTTCAGTGGCTTTCGGCATAATAAAGCAAAGGGTTAGATCCAATTTTTGGTAGAACTGCTTATGTTTCAGAAAAACTATATTGGCCATCCCCAGGACCAAAGATATATGTATTCATTTCTTGGATTACCAAAAAATGGTACCTTTAGTCCGAGGGTCACGCCGAAGATCGACAAATGACGACCGATCCTGAGTATATTTCCATTAGCAAAATCTGTGTGGCAAGTGTTTACACCTATAAGCTGAGTTTCAAACTTGAACCAGGTGATCGACATTGTTATAGGACTCGTAATTTCTGAAACTCTGATTTTCTTAAGTCTTTCTTAATTTTTTTTCTTATAAAAGTCTTCACTCGCTCTCTTATCCTTTAAAGCCAATAGAGAAATTGCATTCGTAATTTAACGAATACTTAGGAGATAGCCATTTATTCAGGAAAGTGTGCCTCAAAGAAAAAGCCCAAGACATCTTGGAAGAAAATTAAAGAAAGAATTCGGTAAGAAACTTGAAGGTGAATGTGAGAGTCCAAATTACAAGTTACACCAAGTCGCCAAGCCGGCAGAAGCTGAACCACTCAGGTACTATGAAGTCACGGCCGCTGCGTTGTTCAAGCTCCGCGACGCCGGCGAAAGACAGGCGATGGTCACAGAGAGACAGCGCTTCGAATTTCCTTACCACCCGACCTATTCCTCAACGATAGTTGATCACTACTGAAGTCATCATGTCATCATGTCATCATGGCATGTGCAACGGTGAGTTGACGAGTGAACGACGAAGGCGCGCGACAGATAAATTACCACCGGTGGTTTGGCTGAAACGAGTGCTGCGCGCGCCACTGGCCACATTGAGAATTGCGCAGCTGTTGCTGAATTCAAAAGAAAATCTTTTTAATTTATAAACTGCCTGTTAGACATGCCCTTCAGCCCTGGCAGAGTTGCAGAAGAGCAAAGAACAACTGCGGCGATCATTAGCTCGAGCTGCATCCTCCGTGGCCACCTTGAACCTCTGCTGTTGCGTACGGTCGTCGTTCGACATTCGCTCTCCCTCTCGCACTCGCTCTCGCTCTCGCTCAAGCACTTGCTCTCTCTCTAGCTCTTGCTCTTGCTCTCGTTCTCGCTCTCGCTCTTGCTGTTGCTGCGTTGCTCACTCTTCCGTCGTCTCGGTTTGTCTTCTCATGTCTCGTTGAAGACAGGGCGACGATGACGGCGCAACAGCAGCCGGTCGAAGGCGAGCAGCGACCTCCGAATGCATCTGGAGATCATATTCGGTGACCCGGTCGTTCGTTGGAACACTGGACCGGTACACAAAATCAAGACGCGAAGTCGTCGTCGTCGTCTAAGATCTGACCAGTAGTACCTACTGTAGAAATAAGGCATCGGTGTTGTCTCTAAGTCGTTAGTACCAAAACAGATGTCGTCGATCGCTGACACAGTCCAACTAATGGATCGTTAACAGTGATGTCACGTTACGTGAGCCGTTAGCTGTGCTTAGCTGCATGTAGCTGTCATCGGCTAGTTTTAAATCAACATAAGGGCAGATTTACATAGTTAACATTATTCAAATCTTATCATTTACATTTTGAACGCAAAGGTCATGGATTGCGACATGCTGAACCGCATGAAGGCTTGCGATTAATAAATAGCACCGGAATGAGATTAGGACGGATGAAAGGAGAAAAAGTAATTCAGCCATTAGCTTGGAGAGGAAAGGAGTTCAATTTTTGCCATCTTTCGTTGAGCATCAGCGAAAGAACTGAAAATTAAAAAAAATTGTGCCTCTTTTCAGCCACATAAGCATTTCTCAAGGAATGTACAGTTTGCTGGAATTTCGATTCCACAATATGTTTACTGTAGCAGATCTGATCAAGCAAAACAACGAGTCAGCAGCCACTAGGCGAATTGTGAACAAATACGTATGAAGACGATGAGATTTGACACTAAGTTCAGCTTGATGGAAGAACGTAAGGAAAATGACGAGAAATGAGGAACACTGAAGAACACTGAAAGTGAACCGTACTCAGTTTTGCTTACCGAAACGGTTGTGGTCCTGATGAGTGCCATTAACCTTGCCGTCGGCATGGATGAGCAAATGGTAACCTGTTCGGCAATAGAGTTTACCTATGCGGTTGGTCTTTTCGTAATGCGAGGGCGACAACGACGAGGAAGACACGGAAGATCGCAGAAGCGGCGTGTTTCGACGCGATTGACGCTGTCTCGTCCGGTAGATGTGCTTCATGCAGCTCTGCAGTAACGATCCTGCTTGTAAGGAGTTGAGGTCCAACGAAGGACTAAACGGCGTTGCGCCTCCGCCAATGGCTGCGTAAGACGACTGGGCGGCCACGACGCTGCCAGAGGCAAGAACAGTCATCAGCAGCAGAAGAAGTGGCAAAAGAAGGAGACGACAAGGCCGAATCTCTATCGCTATGCACAGTTGGCCTCGGCGGAACAACGATGACACTGGCAGCAGCGACCCGCGCTGCTGATCATCGGTCGGTGCTCGAGCGAACCTCACCGTAATAGGAACAATCAGGCGCTGGCCATTCAGGACGGACAGCGCTGGCTTGCAACGGACGGACGGCCGGCGGGCACGAGTAAGAGGAGGAGTAGGAGAAAGAAGCTGAGTTGCTGGCGTCAGACCAATTCGGGCTTACGAGCAGCAGCACGAAACCGGTTATGCGAACTCATAGCCAACGAAGAACGCGGCACCAAACGCAGTCATCAACGAACGTTATTTGGTCTGGTCTGTTGGTCTGTTGGTCTGTTGGTCGATGTCGGTGTTGCCCTGTCGGTATGTCCGTCGGTCGGCTGGTCGAAATGACGACGGCGCGACTTCACAGCCACCACCACCACCACTCACTACGTGTGTATGTGTGATTAACCGTGCGTTTTTCAATAGTTGTTAGTAAGCAGTGACGAATAGGTTGACGACTGGGGACGGCCGTGCCTGCGTTTCACGATGCACCACACCGCACGCTAGTGGCGGTGAAGGGTGAAGGAACGAAAGGGGAGGAGGAGAGGAGGAACAGGAGGAGCCGCAGGAAGAGGTGAGTAAAGATGTGACCGGCTGGCCAAGACGGCTGCAGCGACGAGTCGACAGCGACGAAGAACAGGAGGACGAGACGTCGGTTCCACTTCTGCTTCCTCAGACCGCGCGACGCGACGAAGACGGCGACGCGACGACTGCTACGATAGCCGGATGCGTGCCCTCAACAGGGGCGGAGGCGACGGTCACCGATGGCAGCACTGGGGTGCTTTTCCATGCTTCGATCGTTGTTCTTCATTCGATAGCGATGGCTTCGACCGACCGTTGCAACTCCACAGGTCCGAGTCTTGTCCAGGTGTTGGCCGGTGCCGCGACTGCAAGGACGACGCAGCGAATGCGACTACGACGGCGATGATGACGACGACAGCGACAACGACGACCTTCCTCAATTCGATTCGACCCGACCGCAGCGTCACCAATCGACGAGCGTTTCGCGAAGAATGAACATATCATCATCGTTCGCCAGCCGTGGTGTTGCTGCTGCATCAGCAGCTCTTTCATGGCCGCTGCCGAGCAAACCGATCATGAAGCGTGCCGCAGCTGATGCTTGCGTCAAGCCTTAACCACCTCTCAGAACTCCATCCTGTTTTTTGCCTCTTTTTCACAGTTTTCTCCTTTCAAAATACTTCATTCTCGGCCCTTGTCTTGCTTCTCGGCTTTCAGCCGTTCGTCGGCAAATTTTCACCTTATAACAAGGTAATCACCAATCACCACTGAACAACAAACACCGTTCGTCGCATCCCAGGTGTTCGTCCCTCCGTCCCTCCGTCCTGTTGTCGGTCGGTTGATGACGGCACGTCATCATCACACACGTTCCCACACTTTTTCGCTGTTTCAACGGTCGTTTCGCGACTGCTTCCTCCCGCACCCCTCATTCGAAGTTGCTTCGACCGCCGCTGCAGCCATTTCTTGTCATTAGCCTAGTCATCGGCTTAATCGCGCTCTACGCCCCTGTATTCCGATGTCGGTTGTATCGAAGCACGATGTACAATGTTTACATGTATTGGCATCCGCAGAGCTAAAGCTGATTCACGTTCATAAAGTCCGCAATAACGGGCAGGTTAGAAACATTTTAAACTTCGTCTGACCTGACATGATGATCTGATCCTGGATCATTTAATCTGGATTTTGGATTGAATTTGGATATTCCCTTATTCTGGATTTAAACTGAATCCGGATATTTGATCGATGACGCTTTACTGCATCCTTATAGATGGCACGTTATATGCATTCATGAACTGGTACTCTAACGTTAAAGCCCATATTGATACGGAATGGTAACTTTTTATTTTAAGTGACTCGACGCAAACTAAAAATCTTTAAAGTTACAGTATTGAATTTTGTTCGCTTTAATATATTAACTGCAAACAACTGACAGACTTCCTCGAGCTGGCTGAAATCAAGACTCTCTGTTCTGATGGCAAAACTGCAGTTCAGTTTGTCAGATTTGGAGAGATAAATCATGTAATCGAGTAATGGATTCATACATGTTATGCAGGCGTCTTTTAAGTTTAACACACTCAATTTATCCACCAACTGAAGCAGAGTAATATTTTCCTGCTGAATGATAAGTTATTGACTGATGCTACTTATAAGAACAATTTTGCTTTGTTATTAATGACATTGCATTTACACGATTTAACTCTGTCAGTCAATGGATTGTCCACTGTCGACTGAACAGTTGCCGCTTCTCTTCATTTGATATTATATACGGTGCTTTTATTCCATTGCAGTCTTCAGTGACCGAAACCGTTGCCAAACTAATGTCTCATATTCTTTGTAGACTTCAAAGCCACTGCCAGTTGTTTTGCGGCATCTGAGTTTAAAATGGCGGGACATTCTACCTGTTCGTTTGTCTGAGATTACACCTGTTAACTATCATTTTCTATGATTAATACTGAAGATATGGATTTTCATCATTCATATCACTTCAGTTGTCCATTAACTCATTTAAAGTAAAGATAGGGTATACTGTGATAGAAAACAGTCTGAGGTCTACTGAAAACAACGGTTCTGAGGTTGTATTTGCAATGAGGCACTGCCTAGAGGCTAGACCAATTGCGCGTACCGAAGTTAACAAAATGTCACTACCGTTACGAAGAAGACACGGCGTGTTCTCAAGTTTCTTTGACTTAATACATATGTTGACGTTAGGAGCTGACATCGCAAAAAAAAGAGAGTTGCAGAAAGTCCATGCCACATGTCTGAAGAACACCCTAAGTCATGTGATGCAAGATCACCATAAATTTTTTCCATCATTCATTCGTGCCACAAGTTTCTTGGTAACGTTATTCTGTTCTGCATTGAGTGCTTCAACGCACTACAGCAAAATTCTTTCATTCGGTCCAAAATGGGCTCTCATACCCAACCTATAACTAGTCGCAGACAGTGTTCTGAATTTGTCGATGCTCTTTTGCTATATCTC